CAAATTCTAGTAAGAAGACGAGACTTAACGGTCTGACTGAGACTGGAGGAACCCTGGAAAGCATGGCCCCTGGATTCTCTATCAGCCCAGAACTAAAACAGTTTCCAAGGCCAACTCTTCAGACAGGGATTGGACTGGACTGTGGGACATAAAGGGATACTCGTGAGGAGTGTGCCTCTTCGCTCAAGTAGATACAAGAGACTAAAAGGGCAGCTTCTGTCCAGAGGTGAGATGGGAAGGCAGAGAAGGTTAGGAGCTGGTTGAATGGACATGGGGAATCCGGGGTGGAAAGGAGGAGTGTGCTGTCACAGTATGGAGAGAGCAATTAGGGTCACAGAACAATGTATGTATAAATTTTTGTATGGGAGACTAAGTTGAAATGTAAACTTCATCTAAACTACAACAATAAAAAAAAAAAACAGAGGGATAATGGCGGTAAGTGAAAGAAGCCCGTCACAAAAGGCCGCAAATGATTCCATTTATACTGAATTCTCGTTATTTGCAGCATAGTTATGTTCTGTAAAGTCGCTCCAAACCCTGAATTAGTGAATGTTGAACCCCTGCTCCTAGGAGAAATATAGAGTTATGTTCCTGCGAGTCTCTGGTCACAACATTTTCATCAGTCAGTACATAACTTTGTTTTACGTGTGTTTCTGTTTAAAGACTCCTTATTTTATATATATATATATATATATATATATATATACACACACACCAATAATTGATTCATTAATACTTAACTCATGAGCAACAGCACTATAATTTGTGCTTGAACAAAGTTTATCTAAAACACACATTTTCTCCATAAGGCACATCTCACGCTTCTTGCACTTAGGGACACTACACGGTACTGCAGTGCTGTACTTGAGGCCATTTTATATACAGTGACATTATCAAAAAGGTAAAGAATTTTAAAAAGTCACAAAAACATGGAAAATGTGGCTCTAAATAGACCGCATAAAGAATACTTGTTTACAGTTTGACAGCTGAAACAAGAAGACAGAATGTTATTTTATTCTGCTGAGCTGGGAACATGTGCCTCGGGGACTCAAATTTTCCAACACTCTGCATATGTCCACAAATGATTGTGAAAGCATCACGAGTATTGAATTTTGGATTACAAATAAATTTTACCAGTTGTCAAATTCACAAATACAGAATCCACGAATAATGAGCATTGACTGTATATGAAATGACTAAAGTAGGCAAATGCTTCCCAACAGAAAGTAGATTAGTGGTTGCCTATGGCTGAAGGGGAATGGAGAGTGACCTCTAATGGATACAGGGTTTTTTTTTGAGTTGGCGAAAATATTCTTAAATTGATTGTGGTGATGATTGCACATCTCTGGGAATACTAAAAACCATTGAACTGTACACTTTAAATGGATGAATTGTGTGATATGTGAATTATATCTCAGCCCTGGCGGTACAGTGGTTAAGAGCTCAGCTGCTAACCAAAAGGTCGGCAGTTTGAATCCACCCGCTGCTCCTTGGAAACCGTATGGAGGCAGATCTACTCTGTCCCATACGGTTGCTATGAGTTGGAATTGACCCGATGGCAACAATGTTTTTTTTTTTTTTTAAAGCTGTTTTAAAAAAAGAGGTGATGAGTAGTGTTGTGAGAAGCGTGGTAAGATCTAGAAGATCTTGAAGGTAGCACCCTCAAGATTTGATGATAGGAGTGGATGTAGAGTGAGAGAGAATAAAAAGAGTTAAGAGTTCTTTAAGCTTAAACAATGAAAAAATGCCAATTTGAGTTGAAAGAAGTTTGTGGAAGTAGCAGGTTTGGGAGGAGTTTGGAATTCTGTATGGTTCATGTTAGACATCTTCATGAAAATGTGAAGTAGGTCATTGTATATATATTATAAACATTACATGTATGTATTTATGCATTTAAAACATCTTCCTGGTTATTTACAATTACAGTGTCTGCTATGGCGAACATCATATAAAGATATGAAATTATTCCTATTTCAGTTATTTAATCATTATGATTTATTAATAAGATAAAATTATTGCTTTAATAATGTCAATGATTAATAAGTATAATTGAAATAATGATATAATATCTAAAACTGATTGTAAAACAGTTGTCATAGTTAGTAATAAAATAATTTTATTTTAATAAATCAGTGAGGAAAGAGGCTGAAAAAGAAAAGCCAGAAATTTTTACCAATTGCTTACTAGCTGTTGCCATTATTTTGCATATTTATTATGTAATGTCAAAATTCTTTAACAATCCCCTGAATGTAATTCTTGGTTCCCTAATCCACAGATAGAGTTTTTGTTTCTTTATCTCCCATATGCCCTCTGGTTTTTCCTCCCAAGTCCAGTTGATTCCACTTACATTTGCTGAGCCTTGACTTAAAAGCCTACATCAGCACTCTCGGCTCCTTTTTAACATATTTATCGGCGTCACAGATGATGCACAGCAAACACTTTGTACAGTGAGACCTGATTAAAAATCAGAATTGTTTTCTGCGTCTTTAAAATTCAGGGGAGACCATACCATCACAATGGTCTAATTGTAAACTTTATCATAGCAGTCCTATCATGTAACATTACTTCTGTATCAATTACTTCTATAACATTACTTCTATATCAATGTATAGAAGTATAGTATGTTTTAAGTTAAAAAAAAAATCCAGAGAGCCAGAAGGATGGAGGTAAGCAGGAATTTTTATGTACATTTTTTTTTCTTTTGAGTCATTTCTTTTTACAAAAGAAAATAAAAAGTTAATGTCCCCCCTCGTTGTGCCTTTTTCCAGAGAAGAAAGTGAGAGTGTGCTGACGCTGAAAGGCTTGACTCCAACGGGCATGCTCCCCAGCGGAGTGCTTTCTGGAGGGAAGCAAACCCTGCAAAGTGGTAAGCAGGCCCATTGGTATGACCGTGTGCCCGGAGCACCTCAGTCAGCTGTGTTGTTAGAGCCCTGGGTTATTCATTCGTGTAAGCTTGGTCTTGGTCTTCCGTTCTTCTCAGCTGGAAGAAGGGCTGAAATACCACATCAGTTTGACCTGTCACATCCAACATAATAACTTCTTCATTCACTAGAATATAACCTTTACCCCACTGCTCACCTTCCCATTTGTATGGTAACCACATATTCAGACTTGCCTAGCTGTAAGACAAGTTTCCAGTCACAATAGGTTTGACCACCTTGAGCTAATGACCTGCTAAAAACAACTTTTAAATTACATTTTAACTAAATTCTCTTATCTAATTGATGAAATACACACACACACACACACATCCATACACGGACTAATATATATCCATAAGTCTAGATTTTATTGGAGAATAGAATAAAAATTTAAAAAGGATCATTTCATTATCTACTTGAATAAAAATTAAGAGCCATATGTCTCTTTTCACTGATTTATCAATTCAGAACATAGGAGGCTGAGTATAACTACATTTTATTTTTGAAAAAAATAACATTTCCAGTGAGAAATAAATTTTGTACTAAAAAGTTCTGTCCAGTAGAACTTAGTGTAATAATGAAAACTTCTGTATCTGTGCTGTCCAATACAATAGCTGCAGGCAGCTTATGGTTATTGAGCATTTTTTATTTAATTTAATTTTCATTAACTTAATTTAAATAGCCACATGTGGCTAGTAGCTACCATATCGGACTGTACAGTTTCTGTGAACTCATACTGTTCTGTTATCTATTTTAACTAATATTATTATTAGAATCCCATTTTAGCAATGCTTTATGGAAATTTAGCTATTAGATTAGACTTTAACAGAAAAAAAATTTAAACAAAGCTGCACTATGACATTTTCAGAACAATCGCAGCCTCTTGCTTCTTTTCCTGTATCTTTCCCTGAATCTATTTTGTATTTTCTTTTCTATCCCTGCCCTTCAATCTATTTGGATATTCTTGTGGTTACATTTTTAGATACACCTCCTCTACATAAGGAGTAATGTTCAACATGTACATGATACTGCTGAGTGATCACAACGGAGCAGCATCACTAGAATTTTCCTTATCTATTTTTATATGAATTTATTCCAAAGTCAGTTCAGTTTCCACAAAAAGACAGAAATTTTTAAATGAGTGTAGGAAGATACATGATATGATTGAAATAAATTCTCCTTTAATATATAACTAATAATTATTTTAATAACCTTTAAAAATCCAAAATTTTTCCCACCAAAGTAAACTTACTGGCAGGTTAGCATAATTGGATCATTTGCATGCACAAAACATACATCTACCTAATTGAAATCTGCACAGTTTCTGATAAGCACATTTTAAGGTACAGTGAGTGTACTACCAGAAACTATGATCACATTTACTTTGGAAGGATACATTTAGTAGTGGGCAGTACATATTTCTAGTATGTCAGTGCTGGTGTGGTTCCAGATGTTTTGCTTTGCTTTTAGGCGTAAGTTACTTAAGTTATTATAATTCTTTATTTCATTTCATATTTTTACCTGTGTTTTTAACTTAGATTATTTGCTTTTTCTTTTCTTTTAAATCCATTGGTTTGCATTATTTTATGTTGAACACACACATACACATGTAAAAGTTACATATGGGTTATAACTTTTATTAGTCCTGAGAATTTGAAAGTTTACTATATATTTTAAACCACACACATTACCGCAACTTCAAAATTTGTTGTTTTGTTCCCTTCAATTTGTCCAAAAGGAGAAACTGCTTAAAGCTTTGCTATTTAGCTCTTCTCTATGGAGGTAACTGTTCTGTATTTCTATCATAAAAATCTAGAATGCACTGTCAGTAAACTATAGCGTACATTTGGCTGTTGCTCTAGTTTTAAACTTTAAATTATAAGAAAAATGCAAATTTAAGTCAGGGGGTATAATTTTAATATTAAACATTTTGGAGTTACAGAGAAGTGTTCCATTCTAGCATTTAATTAAGGAAATAGCATCTAGCCTTAACAACATACACCTGTATAGTGAGAGCATTGCCCTTAACCTAATTACAAAAATTGCTGGGAAAGCAATGGGCTTTTAAAGTTTTGTCTCTGGAATATGCTGAGGTTTCAGTATTTCGGCTGCCTAGTCTTTAAAATGCTGATAGAATTATTGTGGCTACTGGCAGATTACCACTTGATTTGTAACATTTTGACAATTTTGTTTCCAAAAATGATATCCAACTAAAGAAAAGAAAACTGATTTTAAGTTGGATTGCCTAGCAAAAAAAAAAAAGAAATCAGGCTAGTTTTTTCCTTCCTTCTCCGTTTCTCCCCTGCCTCTCCCCCTCCACCACCCCCACCTGCTCAAATTTAATTATACTCAGTCCTTGTTTTTAAAGAGTCACATGCCTATTATCAACTCAGGCACATTGACTTTATTCTTCTCCCAGATTTGCACCTAGGCTTTTCCATTTACATTAGGAAGTAGTGCTCGTTAATATTAAGTAGTGTGAATTATCCCACTGACATCGTGGCACTGCTTAAAGTGCTGCCATTTTGCTTGGAATTTTTAAACTGTAAATCGGCAAGCACAGCAGTGGTTTATAGTACTGTGTGTAAGTCAAATGCACGTTTTAGATTTAGCTGGGCCTTTATCCATTTAATCCAAGTAGAAAATTTTCCTGAATCTTTTTCTGAAGGATTAATTAATTGTGTTGTCATTTATTTAGTGAACAAAAGCCAAAGCAATTCACTCAGATAGATGTATCCAGTTCATTAATTAAAATTATTATTTTTGGTTTTTTTTTCCTTTCTTTTTAGAATTTCTTTTTTGTTGTCTGTGCCGGAATCCAGCACTTACAGGAACATTAGTTCTCTTAGCTCCTTTGATCGTCACTGATTTGTTCTTAGAGTTAAAAATCCTCTGCTCATTTTTCTCATTCATTTTGCACCCCCTTTCTTCTCTTCAGCTACTGTTGAGGCTATTGAGGCTGATGAAGGTAAATTGGCCAGTCCCCTTTCTGTTGTACCGACAACAGATAAGGGCTCTGCTGGGTGTATTCATTTTTTTTTTGCTGTAGCTTGTACAGAGTGTGTGGGTGTTGGGCTAACAGTCGTGGCTCAGTATTAACCGAAATGTTCTTGCTTTAAAGGGGAAAATGTCCTTTTATGGTTTGTTTGTTTTTTTCCCTTAAAGCTATGTTGACTTTGTATACAATGAACCTAATATAATCACAGAAAACAAAAGGATTATATATCTTGAATGATGTGGGGTGGGCATTATGGCAGCTGTTTTGACAAATAATGTAAAAAAAAAAATTCTTGAGCTGAACCATGTCCCTTCCTCAAAGCACTTTCAGTCAGCACTGAAAAGGAGAGAATAAAAATAGCTTTATTCGTTCTAGTCTTAAGAAGTTTCTACAAAAACAAAAAGTTTATTTGAATAGTGCTTTGTTGTAGTTCAACATGAATTTATGTCTCTCTAAAAAATATTCCAACATGAGACAGATGTGTATGAGATAAACAGTTCTGCTAGTTTTGTCAAATCTTAACCTACTGGTACTTATAGAACAATTAGTGCAAGCAAAATATTATAAAGCGTTAAAAAATATCTAGTGGATGTGGCCGGTAACAAGAATAGTGAATATCAAGTAGTCAGTCAATTGATTCATGTTTACTGAGTGCTTGCTTTGGGCCAGGCACTGTACTAGATGCTACAGGGGAAATCAAGATGTGTATGTCAGCGACCGTGTCCTAAAGCTGCTCAAGGACAATGAAGTTGACCCTTTAGTAATTTCTTTTTAAATACATTGTTGTAAGAGAACTGCTTATCAAAATAGTTTTTAATGTTGTACATACTGTATCTTCTGGAAATTTTAAAAAGAATAATTTGAAGTTCCCCTTTAAAACAAAATTCTTCAGTTGTATTTTGTTCTTGCAAGATAACTTTTTATTTTTCCCAAAATTGTGTGCATATGGTCCCATGGTGTGATGTGAAAAGTGCCACTTTAGACTCTTCCAATTTGTACATGATTTGGATATGGTAGGGGAAATGACAACACTGTAAGAGAAAATACAACTGCTTCCTAAATAGCAGTGAGTAAACTGCTATTTATGTGGGAATTCTCTGTTCCTCTTGGCAAATTCTAATCTGCAGTGTGCATTCTTGTTGATAGTTTGGCTGTTTTCTGTGGTTTCTGTGACTCTGTGTTGTGTTAAGTATACTACCAATGTAAATTGCTAATACCCATTGTCTGACCAGCAACTACAGCAGAGCACATTCTTCCATACCAGGAGAGACAAAAACAGATTGAAAATGGAGCGCCATTCCAGAAACATACATTATTCTTGTTAGATTTTTAACTTGTACACCCCTACCCTATTGACTTTTACAACCTTGAGATTCCACTTTTACCATTTAAATCAATAAAAGTTGCTTCTTCATATGTTATACTGATTATAAAAGGTTGTATATTTACTAATTACAATGAAGTGATACAGTAGTTTAGAAAAAGAGTAGAGTTCTACTTCATGCCACTATTTTGTCCCTCAAAATCATGGATTTAGTTTTCAGGGTAGGTGCTTGTTAGACAGCTCTATTATCTTGCAATTTATTACAAAATTAGAGAATTAAGAAGCTTTGCTTTGGGCCTTGGTCTTTCCCCATGTCCGCATCTTCTTCCTCTCACAGTTGACTAATCACCATTATGCTAACACTTAAAATGCAGAGGGGGGAGTGAACTATTTCTCATAGTTAATGAATTGTGAGATAACTGTATCTTTTAAGGACCTCATCCATAGTAATGAAAGGCACCGCACATTTGTGTAGGAGTGACTGGCAAAGTTTCAGCTTAAAACTGCTTTCTTTTCTTTCCCAAACAAGGGTGAGGAGGATAAAGGTACCATGAAATCCGCCATGGTGATGCAGCCCAGCTCAGCATTGGTGATTGGCCCTTAAATATCCAGCTTGCACTTCACAGGGAGTAAAACAAACTGATGTCGTTGGTTCCCCATTTAAGTATTTTTATTTTCAGCTCACTAGTTGGTGCACCCACTGAAGAAACCAATAAATTTCTTACACAAATGCCTTGCCTATCTCTATAGCACACTAAGGGTTAGTGAAAACAAATCCAACTATCGTGACTCTCACTTTGAGACTTCCATGTTTTAACTGAATAGGGCCAAAACCAGTCCAATTTGTTTTTGCTAAAAATTATGAAAGGCATTTTCCCTTGTTATTCTTTTAACTATAACTTACGTGTACATTGATCTACTAAGAAATAGTTTTTCATTGCTAAATTTAGGCAGTAATGGATACCAGATGAACATCAGTTTGGCCTGTTCACTGCTGAAGGGCAGACAAAGCTTATCTACTCACTGATCTTGATTTTTCTGGTTTTCTCTTACCTTGTCACCCACTCCACATACTTCCAAAATTGGGTGGCAAAACATGAGTTTATAATTTCATTTTTTTTGGTGTCACCATTGAGTTGTTTGAGGAGGAAGTCTTTTTTGGATTCTGAGATGGCATGAAAATGCCCCAGGTTAATCCCATTTATAGCTCCTTATAGCTTCAACTCTAATCTCTTTACTGGATTTTTAGGTATAGCAGACCCAGTAATTCCATTGCATTTACCAATACTAACACAGTAAAATAATAAAAGTAGGGATATGTTAACATCTGTCTAGTTTATCGTCTTTGATGCACTAATCATGCTAATAACGTGAACAGTCGATGCTGGATCTAGAGACCTGTACCTGGTAGCAACTTTTCTCCTTGCACATCCACTTGGGATTTCTTTGAACTAAACTTTCGTGAGGACAAGAGAAATGTTTACACCTTAGTAACTTCTAGAGGACATTTTGGTTGGCAAGAGACATTGGCTGTTTTCACAACTTTTGATTATCTTCGAGTATGGTAAGGAGTCTGTTGTGTCATGTTCAGGTCCCGTCACTTTGTTCTCTACTAAAGGATTCCCTCTCTCACTGCCAAATCTCTAACATCACCAGATGCAACAACTGTGCTCTTTGTTTTCCTCTGACTAACCAGTTTTCTCTTTTTAATGATTTTCTGTTTAGCTATCAAAGGATTTTCTCCACAACATAAGATCACTAGCTTCGAGGAGGCCAAGGGCTTAGACCGAATTAACGAGAGGATGCCGCCTCGCAGAGATGCCATGCCCTCTGATGCGAACCTTAACTCCATCAACAAGGCCCTCACCTCAGAGACTAACGGCACGGACAGCAATGGCAGTAATAGCAGCAATATTCAGTGACCACTTCCTGTTCACTTTTTTCTTTTTGTTTTTCCTTTTTTTTTTGAGCTGCGGGGCATGGTGGGGCTTGCTGCATATCAGCAGTTGGATGTTCTTGCCTCAGATGGTAGCTTATTTGCTCTGGGGGCCAGGAATTGGATTCAGTTTACACTATCATTAAAAAAGAGGGAGAGAGATAATAAACTATATTTTGGTGGGGCTGGTGATTAAACACCTCCTTTGGGTATGCCTTTTAAAAATGCTTATAGGAAAAAAATTTTAGAAGAAAGCTAATGCTAGTATGTACTGCAATGTTAGAGGAGAGAATATGTTTTCCTACTACATTGGGGACGTCTAGATAGGTTAATGAAAGGCCTTTTATTATGTTACTGGACATGAAAACTTTGTCTAATTTCTTACTCTATTGTACGTTTACAGTCGCAGCACTAATGGATGACATCAAACATTTTTAACAAAATGATGTAAAAACTAAATAAGGACTATTTATTGATAATGTTTTGCTACTCTTGTCAGACAATGGCTATAAACTGAATTAGGCAGTCTTAAAAAAATAGAAAAAGAAAAAAAAAAAGAATGTTGCAAATTTGTTAAAATGCCAAAAAGGACAGTTAATTTTGTACAGATTATGCTTACCTCAGGTTTCTTTAGTGTGCTTGAATGCCCTTCTTTCCATAGAACACTTATTAATTTGGCAATGAATAACTTTTCTTTTCAAGTTTTAAAAAACTGGAATAATTACATCTATCTTTTTTGCTGTTTATATTTAGGGTTTTTTGTTGAAAAATCAAGTCTTGGTTGTGGCTTGCTGAATTAAATATTTATGAGTGGTGCATTTTTAAGTATAGTAAACAAGACACCATATTAAGTACAGTGATAAAGCATCTATATTCTGTAAAAAAAAAAAAAAAATCTGCCTATGCATGTTTTTTAAGGAAAAAAAAATGGCTGTATTGGCCTGTATGGGACTGTAATGCGCTTAGTGGTCTGACATATACTGGAAATGTATGTATACTGGCGTACTTTATATTCTAAAATGCTTAATGCCTTTGAAATTTTGTAATCAAAAAGCTTTGAAAAAAATCTAAAGGGGAGAGTATTCTTAAAAGTTTTTAACATAAGCTTGTCAGTGCACATAGATGGTTAGCATGTTTAGCAAACCTTGTGAACTTTAAATAAGTTTGTAGTTACATGTGAAACTCTAAATGCATGGTGACTGTTAATGTCATAATGGTTTAGTTATTTTGTTCTGTTCTGTCATGTGCCACAAAATATGTACTTTTTTCACTTTTTTCCCTTTGTATATCAGTTACGGGTTACAACTGGTTCATTCTGAAAACAACAACAAAAGTCCATTCATATTTTTTAACAATTGTATAAGTGCCCAAGTAATTCACTACAGCCTAAAGCCTTGCCTTTGTAATTTGACTTCTGAAATGTTGGCAATCAAAGCATGCACTTGTAACAATGAAAAACAAAAAGCATTTTATATTACTACTCAATAAAATGTGCATGAACTTAAAGAACTCTCATCCTTTCACTGAGTCTGCTGAAGGGATTTACGTGCACAGCCGCCATGGCGTCTTTTAGGTGCTAGGCCCACCACCATGCATCACGGATTTGCTTTAACAGGCTTCTTTCAGCCTCGTGATCTAAGGTGTGGTGCCTACTTCCACTGTAAGAATCTTGGTGGATTTGTGTCTCAAATCAGACAAGAAATCTATTTAAAGAGCAAATACCATTTTCTGGCTCCACAAATATGAGAGCCAGTTATGAAACCAGAGCTTTCCTTTTAATTGAAAAAAAAAAAAAAATTTGTTATCAGGTTGTTTCAGTTGTATTAGATCCCCTATCTGCTAAAGCCAAAAGAACTAAGCTACCAAGTGCATTTTCATCACAGAAGAGAGTTGCATTTGTATTGATATGAAATTTGTATACCAGCGCTTCAGCTAATATCTAATCAGCCGAATATTTAAATACACCAAATTTTAGTTTGTTTCTAACATTGTTCATTTTTAGTGCACTTTGTTTTATGTAATAATAAAGTATGCCTGTTATATTAAATAATAAGAATATGACAATTAGTGATATAGTGTACCAAAACAAAGATGTTCTAGATATATTCTCTGACAAAGACTATCCCAAGTTTATTTTAATGAATCCAAACTTTTTTTTCCTGTGGATATTTTTTCCATCCTAAAAAATGATACACAAGGAAAATATTTAGATGCAACTTATTAGAATGATGTGAAAGAAATGGTAATTCTGGTACCAAGGTGTTTATTTTCTTTCTTATAATTGCAAAGAAAATATCCTGACAAAAAGAAAATAATTTTTTTGGATTCTTTTATTTTACAAATTGTGCTGAGGCAACTATGACATAGAAATAAACATTTGACATTAAAATAAGCAGTTGATGTGAGTATTGCTTGGTCATTCGGTCAGTAGTTAGGAAAGTAATACCATATATTTTTACATAATAATTTGGACTTTCAAAGAAGTGTATAAAACAGAAGTTATTTCTCCAAAAGGAATAATAATGCCAGATCATCGTTTATTAGACCTGACCCAAGTTGTAGGGAACCCTGGTGGTGCAGTGGTCGAGTCCTTGACTGCTAACTGAAAGGTCGACAATTCGATCCCACCAGCCGTTCCATGGGAGAAAGATGTGGCAGTCTGCTTCTGTAAAGATTTACAGCCTTGGAAATCCTATGGGGCAGTTCTACTCTGCCCTGTAGGGTCGCTATGAGTTGGAATCAACTCAACGGCAATGGGTTATTTGTTGTTTTGTTTAACCGAAAGTATTAAATTCTTGAATTGCTCATGCCAGTGAAACTTTGGCTTGTGTCTGTCTGTGGATGCGTCGTCTCTGTCTCTGTCACACACACACACACACACACACACACACACACACACACACACCCCTACATATTCACTTAGCCTCCTGTCTTCCACACATCTACCCCTCAACTTGCCTCTCATGGGGTTCATGTTCAGTGTCAAATTTTCATCTAGCTTTTGAAGAATTTTGAACTAGGTTTGACTCACCCTAGGTCAGCGATTTTGTTTGTTTGCTTGTTTGAACCCATTTTCTACTTATATTCTTTTTTACTGATATTTGAAGAAAAGAAATCTTCAGAAACTAAACTTGTAAGGAGACCAAAGTCCAAAGTGGGATGAAAAGGAACATCTTTGCCCATCTACAATGGCGTGGCTTACAGTAAAGCATCAAAGCTGGAAGTGTCTTCTGGAATCAATCCAGAAAGTGTAATGGCGATGCCAAGCGCTCAGAATGATCTTGTACTGAAACATTACTCTCCTACCCTCATCCTGCCACGTCCATGTGAAATAAGTTTTAGTACACATCCATCTTCCTGCCCAGAAACCAAGGCCCCAACATGAGGTCAGCTCAACAGGAGGGAGTGAGAATGGCCTTCCTTAAGTGTCTCACGCTTTTTGACTATTTCATGTCTCTCATTCACTGGATCCATCGTACTCCATTAAGAAACAGGTGCCATTCAGTTTACCTTACCTCAGTATCTAAATTTTTCCTAAGAATGGAAGCCACTTGAGTTGGACAAACCTAAAATCATCAAAACTAATGATATTTCCTTGCCCCATATTATGTGGCCGTTTGCTTTATTCGTTTCACAGATGCTGAGACTCTGCTATGTTCTTCTCACTGTTCTAGGGTCTTATTTTCCCCCAGAAATGTCTGGCATTCTTTGACAGCATATCTGTTTCCATTATAATGTTAAATGTCAGCATTCCATCAAATACTATTTTCACACAGTGGATCAATGTCTGGTTTAACACTCAACTGTTTCTTAATGCCATTGTTTTCTGTTTCTTAGATACCTCTTTCTTATGTTTTAAGATAATGTTAACCAGAGAAGCCCCTGACTAGGCCCTTTCATGGTAAAGCCATTAAGGGAAAAAAAAAAAAAAAAAAAACCCAAAAGCAAGAAGTAGCAACACAAACATTCTAATTCTGGTGATCTCATTTTCAAGAGGCAGCACTGACAAATTGGAATGCATTTGGGAGAATGGAGATCTAGCAGGGGAGTGTCTCTTTTAAGGAAAGATTGAAGAAACTTAAGAGGTGAACAAAAGGAGACATAATAGCTATAATTTTGATTTGGTTATTCACAAAGACCTTGTTTGAATAAGAAGATGCCTATTTAACATAAAGTTGTTAGCTGCTGTGGAGTTGGTCCCTGACTCATGCCAACCCCATGCACAACTGAACAAAATGCTGCCTGGTCCTGTGCCATCCCCATGCTTGGCTGTGGATCAGACCCTTTGGTCCGTAACATTTTCAGTGGCTGATTTTCAGAAGTAGATCCTCAGGCTTTTCTTCCTACTCTGTCTTTGTCTGGGTGCTCCCTTGAAATCTGTTCAGCATCATAGCAACACACAAACCACCACTGACAGTTGGGTGATGACAGTGCATGAAATGAACTGGCCAGGAATTGAACCTGCGTCTTCCACATGGAAGGCAAGATTCTACCAATGTAGAAGTTGCTAATGACTGAAGCTGTTTAACCAGAGGGTAAAGTGTGTGAGTTAATGCACTCAGCTGCTAACCAAAAGGTTGGAGGTTCTAGTTCACCCAGAGGCACCTTGGAAGCAAGGCTTGGCTATCTACTTCCAAAAAATCAGCCACTGGAAACCCTGTGGAGCACAGTTTTCTCTGACAAACACGGGTTCACCATGAGTTGGAATTGACTCAATGGCAACTAGTAAAACTACATGAGAATGCAGATGCATCCCCTTTGCTGGAAGTGTTTAAACTTAGGTAGATTGAATTCAGTGCAATGGACATCTCCTGGGCAAAGCTGCATGGAAGGGGCTCCAGAAGACATTGTAAAGGACCCTTCAAACATAGAGATTGAACTAGATAATATCTAAATTACCCTTCATCAGTAAGATTCTAAATATCCATTCAATTATTCAGTCTTTTGGGAGCATAGAATTAGATTTGCAAACTGTTCCTAGCACTCTGTATTTATAGGAATACTGCCATGGAGCTAAACTTTTTATATCAACCAAAGCAGCCTCTTTGGATCTATTTTGCATATCAAATTTCTATATAAGGTATCAACTGAGAAGAGTTTCCACTACAGTAACAAAGTATGACAGTGACTATTACAAAATATTAGCTCAAGACAAAGTTGACTTAAACTCCAACTTGGAGGCATTCTTGTCAAGTTACATTTTTAATCCATTTTAAACCAAGAGCATCTAAGGACATCTAGGTGTACATCTAAGTTTCTTCCCAATGACTCCACATTGTCCACAGGATATGAAAGTCCAGTTTCTTCAAGATGGCATGTAAGGCCTTTCACCATCTGCCTCTTGGCAGTCTCATCCACCCCCACTCTTCCCAACTTGACTCTAAAGCTCCAGCCATGCTGAACTTTTTACAATGCTCAGAAAACGACAGGCTTCCTCAACCCACTGTGTCTTTATTCATATGTCTTGTATGTGGCGTGTCCTCTCCTTTGCAGATGTCAAATTTGCATTAACTATTTGGACGAGGCATTTTCTCCTCTCTAAACATCTAAATGTTGTAAAATCCTGTCATAACTTTGATTTTAGCACTTACTACACTGTATATAACTGTTTATTGTCTTTCTCTGGCACTGGAGTGAGAATTGTTCTTTGTGTTCATAGCATCGGCAGTGCTTGACATGAATGTTTCTTGGAAGAGAGGAGGAACTAAAGTGTTTTTAAGCATGACCTCATGGTATGGATTGCCCCCTAAGTCCACATGAGAAACCTTATTGAAGAACAGTTAAAATAATATCCCAGTAGTGTGTTTCCCACTCTTCCTCCTAAAAATCTCCTGGAGGTCTGGAGGGGAGTCTACATTTTAATAAGTATCCACCATAATTCTTATCATCGGACAAGTTTGAAAAAACCCTGCCTAGCTTACTTCTATAGGAAATTCAAGTCTATATTTTCAGTTCATGTTGAAGATTTTGCTGCTCACCACTCCTGCTAGAAAGAATTATACATAGTGAATTTAATTTTTGCTCATAGTTTCTTATTATGAATTTAGATAAGAATGTGGAAATTATTTAACTATTTAAAACTAAACATTCATGACTAGACCGTTTATAAGGAAGAAGCATTGGCCTTTTGAGTTTAGTGTATTAGACTCCACCCAGGAAAAGGAGATTTAGGTGCTGAGATATCTGTGTACTCTTCTGTAAAGAAGCCTTGTGTTTTGAAGAGACCAAGTTGCTGTCATATTAAAAAGATTGCTTCTTTCACATTGCCCCCCGCCAAAATAATCTCACCTGCCATTGCCACCAGCTTGCCATAACTTGTTCACAAAATGTTTTTTGACTATACATCCAACACAGTTTACCTTCAATGATCTCATAATACACTTGAGATTTTACCATGAAAAAGTCATTCCTTTGGGTGTTTTCTCCAAAAATTAGAGAAGGAAATCACAAGCCATTGTCAGTTACTAACACCTTAATTATAATTAATTTTTCACAGTTTTGATAGG